AGGAAGTCATAACATTCGACCCTTTTCTTCCCTGTTCGAAAATGAAAAAACATTGGGTGAATAAACTCCCTTTGGAGAGAATCTGTCTTTGGACTCAAACAATGGGTTCCCACTTGAAGTTGTTATTCTTGAGCTTGATCTGAAAGAAGACAGCGGCATCTTTTCAAGTTTTTTCTTATAATGAACTATGGTGATCTTTCGGAATCCCTTTAAAGGAGAAAGGGGTTCAGATTTCTAGAAATAATTATATATTGTTGGCCTGTTGGAGCAGGCTTCAGATCCAATTAAAACGCGGCCCAGCGATTCCGAAGCCATCATGGGCAGCGATCGAAATCATTGCCTGGTCGTATTTATGACAAAATTCTCATGAATTATAAATCTTATCCCTCGATATAAAAAGAAAACTTAAGCCGAGCTCCATCCTCGCCTTCGAGAGACCGAGGAAAAATACTTTTTAAGATTTTTTCTTTAAAAAAGGCAAGTGGGCCTGATCAGCTCATCTCTCACAATTCATAAAACCTCTTTGGCGGGCTAGGACTTGCAAACCTAGAATCGTGTCCAAACGTTTTTGCTAAAAAAAAAAAAAAAAAATCATATGCCAGAGCATGTACATGGTTGTGTTCGGTCACACTAATTGAACAAAATATTTCTGTCAAACGGAATAATCCTCATGGACTCAACAAAACAATTCTTAAAAAAAAAAAAGAGTGTTCCTACACCTCTGGAGAACCCTCATGTGGCCGAGAACCTTCACCTACCTCGAATTGAGATGGGGAATCTCCAAATACCAAAGAAAATTGTTTCAGATCGAGAGTAGGACGGGAAGCTGAGGATAACTCGGACTCAACCATAACGAGTTCGGCAGCAACTTCGCTCCTCTCGTTCTCGAACGAAACTCTCCCAGCCTCTAGTTCTTTAATCAGGTCTAGATTGCTCTTCAGTTCGGCTCGATCTGTTAGAAGTTTAGTCCAGACCTCTTCGTCCTTGATGAACTGCGTAACAGATTGAATAAGTTGCCTACCGAATCCCCTCATCTCTTCTCGAGCATTATGTTTGGCTTCAGCGATATCGCGAGCCCTGTTCCTAGTTAAAAGCTCGATCTCTTTATTTGCTTCTTCGAACAAAGCCGTATTCTCCTCTAGCTCAGCCTCCAAGCGAAGAGCATTAGACCTCGCAGAATCCCTTTCAGCATTCCCAATTCTGATGCGTTGCTCGTTAGCTGCTAGAGTTTTCTTCATATTTTCAAAAGATGACTCGTGTGCTTTTTCCCGCTCAAGTCGCACGGATTGGTTGGCTAATCTGAGATCATCAACCTCCTTCTTAGCCTTTGCGGTCTCTCTCTTCGCTTGATGAAGAAGGTTCTCATAATGGAAGATCATTCCATTAGTCTCCATAAACGCCTTCGAAGTAAAAAAAAAACGTGTCGTTTAGACAAGAAGCTTTTACCTAAGGAAGGGAGATTGTCTAAAAGATCCGAAACTGGGATAGGTAGCAAGCTCGATTGGCAAACATCTGACGGATTTCCGGCCTTCAAACCGAAAAAGGAGGAAGGGACGCCCCTTCCCTGGTTTGGAAACTTCGGAAGATGTCTCCAATCTCTTCTCCGCCTGCGAAGCAGAGGAGAATAGCATATTAATAGATGCAATATGTGGCAAGTTTTGCTAATGCTCGCTTTCTAAGTAAAAACTTACTTGGAATCGAAGCGGGTAAAGGATTTTAAGTCCTAACACTTAGTCCTTGAGATAGGGGAGCCTCCGATCTCGGCTCATCTATTTCTTCTGAAATTACTCTATCTCCCGGAAGAGGGAGCTCGGAGTTTAAAGGTTCTGAAGAGGGAGAAACAGAACGTAGAGGGCTAGAGACTCGTGGGGGAAACTTAATCTCACGGTTTTAAGTCTCTCGTTTGATAGATTATCGGAATCTGGAGCCTTCCTCTTTGTACAAGGAGAGGAGGTTATTTCTCCCTCACACCCTGGTTCGGAAGGGCAAATTGCGGTGGCAACTGGAGGGTTGTTAAGAATCTCGGCTCCATGAGTATCCACCGCGGCTGACAGGGCTGCTTCTAATGAACCATCATCAACCAAGAGGGTCTTCCTGTGGAGGTTACCAACCCTGGAGATTGCAGCTATCCGTTTCTTTCTCCTGATTTCGGATAGCTGATCCTTAAGAACCTTGATTTCAGCCTGCATCTTTCTTTTATCTCGGGCATTCAGGCTCGAGACGTCTTTCTCCTCGGGAGGAGGATCGAGGGGTGAGTCTGACCGTCTTTAATGGCGAGCCCCGCTTTATGAATGCGGTGACGGGTGAAGGAATTCCAATTTGTTTCACCCTCGGAAACGATTCGAAAGAAGGACAAGAAGTCAACGGTTGGGCGGGGGATCGTCTGGTTCCCTGAAACAAAGTATTGGGTTAAGAATTCCATCTCTTTTACTTAATACAGTAGAAAGTAGTAAAGGTTGGATTTTTAACCAAGTTTAGCCGACCAATTGGCGAGAAGAAGACCGGAAAGACCTTGAACGGAATGGGGATTGACTCAGAAAAAGAATCAGTATTTCCTCCAAGGCCCATCATTCGAGGGCATTCCGTCGATTAGGTTACGGTCAAGGATAGGGTTTATAGAAAAAATACCCGCTGCTGCGGATTCACGGGCTCGAAATAGCCCTAAGAGTTCGCTGGTGGAGAGGGAAAACCCTGCTTCTGCCGAAACAGTCAGGGTACTCAGAACGTATCGAAGAAAGTTGGGAGCCATTTGGGGAAAGGCAATCCCTAGGTGGAGGAGGTATAAAAGAAGAACTTCCGGAACGGGAAAAAACAAACCACAACCTTTGAAATAAACTTCGTACGCACAACAGTAACCCTCTCGCACCACTTCCGGAGACTCGTTGGGTCTAGGAAGAGAGAATTCAATTTCCTGGGAGATGTTACAAAGGCGGCGAAGAGCGCCAAGGGAAGCGGAGGTCGACTGAGACCTGAAATGCGGACCAAATTTGTCTCCCCTTTGGGTGAAGACTTCATCCCCTCTGGGAACAGGGATTCCTTAACTGTCATCTTCGTTTTCCGAAACATAGACGGCTGGGGAAGACATCTTTTACTAAAGAGGTTT